TTTAGTCAAAAGTATCTAGATAGAGTTGTAGGGCCCGTCAATACCTTTCCGTGCATATAAAGAACGTCGAAAACAGAGTTGAAACGAAGAAGTTGTGGTTGTTTAAACTTGAATTGGAAATTGGGAATTTTACTCTACGTTGGGCGTAGGTGTTGAACTATGGATGCGGGTTTAATGACCTACACACGGTGTAGGTTATCCTATGTTGGACGTAGCTACTGCAGACCAAAACCCTAATTCTAAGGTTTTGATCCATATTTAAGGGCTCTAACTTCTTGGGATCCTTCCAATGACCAACCTCCATCACCTAAGATCATTCCTTGAGAAACCCTAGCCCCCTCTTTCTTGTTTTGAGCCTCGGTACCTTTTGTGAGCTTATCTTCTTCATTTGGTGGTTGGATCTTGAAGAACAAGGTTTTTATAAAGTGCATGGAAGAAGGATTCAAGTATAGATCCAACACGGTTGCTTCATTTCTGGACGATTGTGAGCAAAAAGCTACTAACTTGCTCATTGATTTCTTAGATCTCGTTATTCATCATTTTTGTCACTTTTTGGTCCCTTGAGCTTGTGTTTTGGGAGTTAAGAGAACTCCAACACCTTTTGAGCTATATGGAACACTCTTGGGACTTGCTGGACTTGGAAAATTGTTTTTTTGGTGCTTGTTTATTAAGCCATGCAAGTTGTGTTAGCGGTTTTTGTCATTATAGTGCATAAAGTTTAGATCTTGCTTGATTGGAGTGTCTTAATGGGTAAAGTTGGAAACTTTATCCATTAAGACATTGTAAAGGTCCATAACTAAAAGTTTGAGGGGTTGAATTTCTGTATTAAGAGCTTAATAGAGTTTTTGGACTTTTGGGGCTACGTTAAGCGTAGTTGTCTGTACGTTGAACGTAGGTATGTCTTACACCGAGCGTAGAGTCGGACTGTTGACTTTTTAACCAGTTTGACTTTTGGTCAAAATTGGGTAGAAGTAGGTATTTAGCTAAGGGATAGTCTTGGTTTGGCTTTAGGTAGCTCAGATTAGCTGTTATGTTGTTGGGAATGTTGTTGAGCTTCTGTTGTCACTATATTTGCTTGTGTGGTAGTATATGTTGACCAATTGGGTCTTATTTGTTGATTATTTCTATATGTGAGCTAAGTTGTTGATAACTCATTGACTGTTGTGATTCCATGTGACTTCTGATAGTCCCAATGGTTTTTGATAACTCGTTAGGTGTGCTGATAATCCACAGGGCGTGCGGTTATCCCATTAGGACTGCAGATAGTCCCCAGGGTTGTTGTTAACCCATTGTTGTTTATATTGTGTGTTGTATGTGACATTCGAGACTGATGTTAGTTCCAAGGCTGCTGATACAACATAGCTGATTATTATGTTGTGTTATATGAGATATTTTGGGGGATTCACTAAGCTTTGTGCTTACGGTTATGGATTAAATATTTTGCAGGTACTTATCGGATTTCGAAGGCGGAACTGTACACACACATCAACATATTTATGATTTGAAGTTTCAGCGTTGTCTTCTCGAATGTAATTTTATAAAAAAAGGAAGTTTGAATTACTGTAAAAATGCATAATTTAGCCTGGGATTTTGGGATATTACAACTTTTCACTAGCCAAAAATGTGACTAGCATCCTTCTTCTTCCATTTTCTCTCTAAATTTATAAAGACAAAAGTTGGTGATATTTCCGAACTCTCTTTAAGTCAAAACTTCATTTTATCTTAAAGCTTAAGAGATTCTTATCATTACAAGAGTTAAAGACTAACATCTTATCAAGTTGGCAAATTGTTGGTGTTTCTGCTAAGGTGGGGTTCTACTCTACATTATTCATTAACTTCCAACCTCTCAATAGGAATCAAAGAGTTTAAAGGTTGTATTGTTTTCTTCCTTTGATTGTTTTAATCTTTCCATGTTTGCAAAATGATCATTGGTGGGTTAAAATAGTTTTTAAGTTTATTCACAATTTTAAAGCTTCCGTTGCGGTTTCTAGTGTTTTAGAAATCGATTTTTGTATAAACACCAACAATTTAGTTTGATGAAACATTCATAGTCCTAAAGTGAACAAACCAACAAATGATATGAAAATAATTGAATAATAGCCATGTATACCAATGTACTATATTCTCAACCAATATAAACAATCAACTAAAACAAAGAAACTAACCACATGAAAAATAGAGAGTTAAATATTGTGCCACTATCAAGGCGATATTATATTTCACCACGACAATATGTGATCTCAGGATGTAACACCTAGTATTTGAGCTACATTTATTAATATTAAGATTAATAATAACTAAATTACGAATTAATTTTATAAGTGATAATATAGACAGTTTTCAAGGATAAGAGTGTTAGTTTTTTTCAAGGAGGAGAAACAAGGTATGTAACATGTAGTTAACATTGTTTTAGTTAATTAGGATTTAATATTTACAATCCTAGAAAATTAGGTTAAAAATGTAATTTTGGTACCTAAACTGTAGATATAGGTCCAACTAGAGTGAATTTGGAAAACACTTTGGAGAGATCATTTGTGAGCTTTTAGGAAAGGAGTAATGTATTCAACCTCTAAGGCTTCCCTTTTTTTTTGTACATTTAAATGATTTCTAGAGAAAATGTGCACTCACAACACTTTTGGTTGTTTCCTCTTTCACAACCTATATGGTTTGCATGATTATACCACGACCTCTTTCTTGACCATGTTGGTTTGTGTGTTGTTGCGATTGTTTTCTTGCAAGGAACACACATTTTCTTCATTTGTTTCTCCTGCTATTCTGCTCATTCTTGGTAAGTAAGTAACAACTCATTTTCATATGGTTCTCCATACCCTCAGATTCTTTCCTCATACGCCTTCAACCTTCCTACTACCTTTTCAATATCATGGTGTCTAGATCATAAAATTACTCTGTTGTTGAAAATTTTATACTAATCTAGATGGTATTGCACGTAGGATCTTCTTAACAACATCGGCTTCTTCCATGACTTCTCATAAGGTCAAACATTTCTCAAAATATTTTGTATCTTAGCTATGAATTCATCTACAGTTTCTGCCTTTAGGGTTCGAATCTTTATTGTCTTTACATGATCGGCACCCTAATACATGGTTTTGAGTGTATCTCATACCATTTTTTTCGTTTGCTTCTCCCATATCGACAATAAGAGTTCTTGGGGATTGCTTGATAGATGGAAATTATAGCCAACTTATTTTTCTTGACTCCAACATGATTATGTGGATTTTTGGCCTTGATTGCTTCCCACACTTCTTGGGCATGTATGTATATCCTCATCTTGATGGCCCATGCAACATAGTTTGACCGTGACAACATCGGGTGCTGAAACGAGAATTGTCCTTCTTTGTTTGACATCGCGTCACTTCAGGATTGTTTATACCAGATTCGCTCTAATACCAATTATTAGAATCAATTCGCTTGATTCATCAAGAATGAGGTTATGTAGAATCAATTCACTTGATTCACTGAGAATGACAAAAGACTTAGGTCATATCTAATGGGGATTTAATTGGGAGTTTAATGGACAAAAAAGTGAGGAGGTGGTATTCAATGTATTAAACCTAGATATAGTTTAATGAATGGGAGTTTAATCCTCATTCAAAGGTGGTATCAGATTTATGTTTTTTTTTCTTTACCAATTTAAATTACCCCATTATATACTTTTGTTTTAAGGAAGCCAACATTTAATTTATATTGTCATACAGAAAATATATATCATTATTTTTTATTTATAATTTTATCTATTATATATTCAATAATTTAATTTATTAAGTTAGTTTATATTATAATGTCTAAACAATAAAAAAAATAGTTAAAGCTTAATAAATTTTATAAAACGATAACATTTTATTTATTCTAATACAACCGTTGCGATGAGATTAAAATAAAATACAATACGTAATAAAATTTATATTTTAGATATCGTACTTTTTATTTAATGTATTATTCGTAGTTTTTAATTTTTAAATTTTAATCTTTAATCAGTAATTTTTAATTTTTAATTTCTATATAATGTAGTATTCTAGTATTAAATATTAATATATTTATAAAAAAAATATTATAAAATGGTTGTGTGACAATCCATTAAATTTTATTAAAGTTAATAGAGTGTAAAATTTAATAAGTAAAATGATATAGTTAGTGGAATGTTGATGTGACAATCCATTAAAATCTTAAGAGTTCAATGTATTGAAGATGATCTTAACTCAATAGAAAAGTTTGATGAAAATTAATTTCCCTTGATTATTTGAGGACAAGGGTGGTTCTCTTTGGGTGCCCGCAGTGGAACCGGCAACCACTATTTTTTCGATACGTAATGTAGATTTTTCGAATTTTTTCTTTTGTCTATTATAAAATGTGTCGTCGGCAACACCTACTACAAACCTACAATACCTACTACGGAATCATGCGTGCGCCCCTATTAGAAAATGTCACGCAAAGAAATCAAACTGGATCAGGAACAAAATCCTGAAAGAAAACATGGGAAGACGCAACATTCGAAGAAAGATTTTTCTAGATATTTACTTGTTCTCCAAGTTTATTGTTGGAAAAAACTAAAAACTTAATTAAAAAACCTAAAACAACTACCCTATTTATACTAAACGGACTGAAATCCTATTGCAGTTCAAAAACATAAATAAATGAAAACTTTTTTAAAACACCCGTCCTACAAAATTGTCCCAATTTTCAGGATTATCCCAACATCCTTCCCCGTTTCGACATTTAATTTACGAACTTCACAACCACCAGGAATACTTGATGCGAGAAAGTCAAGCAAACTGATGAAACTAAGTTGAAAAATAAATCGTTTAATCGAAATATACTTGCTACTTTTAGAAACCAAAAATCATGAAGATTTGAGTCTAAGGACACTTGTCATATTTACTTCGTACGTGCCCAAATACGCCTAAAAATGACTTCACATTTCCCATCATCACCGATCAGCCCCTCCCATTATAAATACCCCACCCCACGACACCCTATCACCAACACAAAACAACACAATACAAAAAGCAAATATGAAAGGAGCAACTGTAGCAATGTTGGCAATGATAGCCATGGCTCTACTCATGGTGCACCAAGCTGAAGCCATTAATTGCGGTGACCTTGTTACCATGCTCCGACCATGTGTAGGCTATCTGCAATCAGGTGGTACACCAACGAAGGAATGTTGTAATGGTGCCAGGCGACTTCAGGGAGCCACCCAGAGCCAAGCTGACAGGCGAACCGCTTGCAATTGTGCCAAGAGTGCCGCCGGACAGTTCAAGGTCAGGCAGGATACCGCCACTAGCCTTCCGGGCAAGTGTGGTATCTCTAGCACCATTCCAATCAATCCCAGCGTCGACTGTAACCAGTGAGTTCAAATACTTGTGTTCTGTGGAATGTTCGTTTAATTATTTTCATAATTCATGGTTCACTGACTGGATATCTTTAATGGTACAGCATTCCTTGAGGTGGTGGATATAGGTTGCTTGACATGAATAATAATGGAGGAGCTACGATATGGTGTGGTGTATCGCCGCCGGAATAAATAAACGAGTAGCAGTTTTCTTTGTTTTGTTTTGTATGTGGAATAGAGTTTGGTATTAGGTGTGTACTAAATATGGTTCCGCTAGCCCATGCTTTCTATGTATATGGACTTGCCATACTCGTAATATGAATAGTGAATACATTTTATTTTTTCTGCAGTTCTAACTATATTTTCTAAACAAAAGACATGCACGAATTAGGATCATTCAATCGTCTAAAATCTTACCTAACCCAACTCGTAATTTTGTTATATATTCATATCCAACACAAGTTGATAAAAGAAAAAAAAAAACAGATTAATTAGGTTCGAACCAAGGTATGCATTGCACTACACTACATGAATCTACTACGTACACTACTGGAATCTACCCCTGTGCAGCCGATATTTTATAACCCGTCGGTATAGTCAGCCTATACCGACGACATGCTGTCGAGATAGGCATAGTCTATACTGACGACAAGTCGACGGTACAGAGTCGTCGGCATAGCCATTTCAGCGTAGGTGAAAAAAGTCGCCAGGATAGGTGTCGGAGGGATGTGTACCCACTATATCGACCACATGTCGGCATAGGGTCCGTCCGATTTCGGGTGAAAAAAAGTTGTATTATTTACTTTTACCGACGAGAAGTCGTATGGACACGTTGAATCTATGGCGATGATATGTCGTCGGCACATGTAACGCCTATACCGACGACATGTCGTCGGTACAACCACTGTATGTTTTTATAGTTTTTATAGATTCTGCTATTTACCATTCTTGTTTGTTTAACAAATCCAAACAATTTGCAACATATATCCATAATAAACAAACATTCAATAAAAATTAACAGCATTCAACACACATTGTTCAAATTCAAGTCTAGCACACATCAAAATAACACAAAAAATCAATCATCATAATCTTCTTCCGTTTCCTCGATCTCGTCGATTAGTTCGGGGGTATTTCTTGGAAATATATTGGAATTGGGATTGAATTAAAATTGTGGCATTGATGGTGGTTGGAAGTTAGGAATAGCGGCCGCCAATGAGTCATTATACCATTTTGCATTTGTTGCATGTATCCATGCATTTGTTGTGTTAATGCACCAAATTGGGAATCACTCGTATTTTGGGATTGAGAATGGGAAGATATGGAAGCCGGTTGATTTGGAATTAAACCTATATTGTGTGTTAGTTTCCTTCCGGCTCTCTAAGTCTCATCCCGAAGGCACAATTGAGACATTCAAGCTCATTTGCATATTCGTCCTCCAAGACCTCTTGTTGTATTTTCATATACTCATCTTGTAATTTTTTTTTCTAAAATTAAGAAAACAATAAGCATACATTAAATTTAGACACAAAAATAATAATAATATACCTTAAAAAAACTATAATAATAATAATAATAACAATAAGATATTTAAACAACATATGAATTTTGTTTATTACTTACCCAATCTTCTTGTGGTCAACGTGTACACCAACCCAAGTCTTCCTAGAAGCGCATCTGTTTCCAACCCTCAGTATGATCCGGCTTATGTCCTTAATTTTTGTTCTTATAATAAGCCAAAAATAATTAATATATTTATATAAGAGTTAATAAAAAATTTATATAATAAAATAAATTTTATTACCTCTAAATGGCGTCTCGAGCATATGGCATACAACCAAGAGCACTTTTATGTGAAAGTTTCACCCTAGTACCTTTATTTTTCCGACATACGTCTAATCCTGACATCAAACACAACAAATCAATAAACTCATTCCAAGTGTGGGCATCCCAATGACGTAGTGGAAATCTTCTTGCAGTTTCCATGCTTGCGTATTCGTCGACGTTGTCAAAATGACATTTCACATCATACTTACGTTCTTTATACGCTCTTTGGTAGTCGGCTTGGATACCCGCTCAAACGCCTTCCCACAAATTTATACTTTGATACATATTAAGATCAAAATATGTCTGCAAAAAAACATATTAGATAATAAAAGAAATATTTAATAAGTATAAAATTCAATACATATAAAAAGTGTTGTATACTAACTTTTAAATCCGGATATATAGCTTCTTTCTAATGCACAATAACACGACGCCAATATAAATAAGGCAATGGTATAATTGAAACCACCTTATTTGATATCAATCTTACTAACATTTGGTTGTTATCTCTTATGAATCGATATGTCTCCGCGGTGGTATCTGCTGGATTAGTGTCTAAGGCTGTAATTATATTTGGTAAGTACTTGACCCAGTTGTGCATGGTCCTTTTGGGTTGCCTTCACCATAGCAACTTGACAGGATGATTTGTTAAGAGAGAAGAGATATTATTGTTAATATATTATGAGAATAATATATTAAAGAAATAATAATGTTATTTAATTAATATAAGTCATATATTAATTGAGAATTAATTTGGTGACTTAAAGAGGTTAATTGAATAAAGGGGCATAAACTGTCAAATGTGTGATAGTTGTATTTTGGGCTATGTATCCTTATGGATATGAGGGTGGACGAATTTTAGGGTTTGGATACCATAAAATCGTCCAAGCCTATTATCTAGAAGGATCTTGGATTGCTTAGGGCCTAAGTCATTCAATTAGGGTTAAAGGATGAACCCTAGTAGCTCATAGTATAAATAGAATCCCTTGGGGTGGGGAAACTGGCACTCATGCAAGGCAAGAAACCCTAGGGCCGATTTCTCTCCCTCCTATCTCTCTCAAGATCATCTTCTTGCTATTTGGTGTTTGTAAGCCATTAGAGGAGTGACAATTGTGACTCTAAGCTCCAAGAAGAAGAAGTATCAAGCAAGTAATTCAAGGTATTCTTTAGATCTGATTTCATATGATTAGATTCAATTGTTTACATTAGATCTAGTATTGTAAGTCTTGGATACAATGCATGTTCAATTAGAGAAACCTAGATCCAAGCATTAGGGTTTGCATGTGCACATAGGAAAGTTCTTATGGCTCAAACCCATCAGTGGTATCAGAGCTTTGATTGATTTCTATTGAATTGTTGCATTGGTTGATTGCTTGTTGCTTGAAAAATTCGATTTTTGTGAGACTGCCTGATGAACTCGGCGAGTTCCACTGTGGACTCGGCGAGTCCATAGAGGTACTCGGCGAGTTCGAGCGTCAGAAGGAGGAAGTTTCGGGATTTCTTGCTGTTTTACTTGAGGATACTTGCCTTAACTGTTTTGGGTCATTAAAATCCGATTTTAATCATATATATGAGTATATTCTTGACCAAATAAAAGATAATTGTCAATTAGTTGAATAATAATTTCCTTATATGATTATAATTGATTATTTGAATTGAATTGGTAAATTGTCTTGCAAGTAATTCTAAATAAGATCAAATTGAGATAATCTAATTAGTTGATTTATATTATTTGCTATTTGATCCTTATGTTTTGAAAAGTTCTAAACTTGTCCCTCAAGCTTTGAAATTTTATATTTTATGATTAAATGTTTAATTTGGATAATTTAAATTTCAATCCCTAGAATTTACAAGTTTAAAATTCAACCTATACTATTATATTATTACAAGCTTAATATATATATGTATAATTTATAAAATGCTAGTCTTACCGTTAGTAGGCCTCATTCACGAAGCCAGTCTATAAGTGGGGTATAAGGTTGCTGCCTATAAAATGGCGCTTAATGGGTGTACATTCACCACCCCGCTTGCTTGACTGGTGGAGGGTCGTTAGCCGAACGGGTAGGATAGGGCAAACCTCCTCTCATTAATAAGTATAATGAATCTATATAAAGTAACTAAACATGTTTTATAAAATTCCAATCTTAGTTACTTTAGGAAAAGTGAATTGATGCAATCCCATGAAATTACACTTTGTACCCTTGCTAAGACATTAATGGAGCGCGTGTGGTTAACCGGCACATTAATTGGGTTCTAAGCAAAGGTGGCAAAGGGTGACTCATTGTTTGTTATAGTTCAATGGAGCGTGTGTGGTTAACCAGCACATTGAATAGGTAACTGTAACAGTGGGGGCACCTTGTACATTTGCATGGTTATTCACACCCACTTTGTGATCCTCGGCATCCCAGTCACAAACGAGAGGGGCATATCGAGATTTAAACATGTCATTGAAAGGTTCAATGAATCTCAATGAAATCTAGGAATTCTCAATACATTTAAAACTTAAAGCTTATGTTTTTCATGGTGAAGAATTAGTGAATCGTCATTCACTTACCTCCAAATTATTTGCATGTTGGATTAATACGGCATCCCTTTTCTAATGTGTAAATAATGTTGTTGGGTCCTAGCCCTAATTTTCTTTTTGGTGTTAATTAGGGGCTTAATCTAATCAAACTTTATTCTTTCTATTTGTAGATGTCTAACGCAAACAACGCTACTGCTAGCTCATTCCCGCTAATGAGCCTTTGTCAAAAAGTGACTTTTGATGGAACGAACTTTAGCGAATGGATAAGATACATTCGCACGATCGCGCGTTACGAGGACAAAGAGTATGTTCTCGATGAGAAGCTCGAGAAGATCAATCCAGAAACAGCTACTCCTGAAGAAATGGTTGTCTTTGAGAACCATGAGCGTGATGCAACGAAGGTCCATTGCATCATGATAGCCACAATGAACTCAGAATTCCAAAATCCTATGAGGACATGTATCCTTATGAGATGCATCTAGACTTGATGGGAGATATCACCAAAGCGCGAGGCAAGACGCTATGAGATCATAACGAATATGATCACTGCTAAAATGGGAAGTGGAGAGTCTCTAACTGTGCACTTGCAAAAGATGCAAAGGTGGTTGATCGTCTTCGCAAGTTGAATGTCAACTTTGGGGAAGATTTGGCTATCGACATTGTTCTTCACTCCTTACCCTCATGCTACAACCAATTTAGGATGACCTACCACGAACAAGGAAGAGGTCACCCGTAAGCAAACTCAAGGGCTCCTGAGGACTGCTGAGAGCAACCTCAAGGACAAGTTTGTTGCACCAACTCCCATCCACCCGTTGCTCCTGTTTTGGCTATTGGACAGGGAAGGGGCAAGAAGAGGAAGGCTTTTTCAAAGAACCACCACAAAGGAAAGTCCCAAGATGTTCCTCTTCTAGTGGGACCAAGGTTGATCC